GTCGTTTTCTAAGTCCAAATACACGATTGGCCTCCTTCAAATCTCCTAGCGTTAGGCTTAGGCATTATCTCCCGTCATTACCGCGTGCGTGGATTAGCGATGTGCCGCTGCCATGTGCCTGTCTCTATTCTTCCTTTTTAAGATCTGATTCATATGGCGCCACATGCTGCTGTAATCACCAATTCTTCAGGCTGCTGCCACGAACTAATCTCTCTCAATTCCCATCTTGTATGACGTTGAATTTCTACATCAAATTTTAATTATTCTGATTGCGTGATTTGTGATGCGACACAGCGCTAGGGTACAGGCGCTGCAATTGTTCAAAAGCTTGGAACCGTCAATGCTTCGTCGAGCATCCATAAACAGTGATGGCTATCACCGGAAGAGGGGACATGGAGGGGCTGGGTTTAATTCTCTAGGTATATATTTTCTCAACGCTGATCATTTTTTTGCTAATAGAACAATATAATTTCCTCATACAACCAATGATTTTGTCATTGCATAATATATATAAATGCAAGCTAAAAGCCAACCATTTTATTATACATGATTATTCTTGTTCGCATTCTTGAATTTCAATATGAACATGTTTTGTAGCAATGCATTTCATTTCATATTTTAGAGTAGTCAGATTATAAAATCCGTCTTCTTGGTGCGTGGAATTATTTACCAATATTAGCTATCACTAGACACGCTCCAGCTGCAAAAATAAGTGTGTCTAAGCAAAGTAAAATGCAAATGGCACTTGAATACAAAACTATTGGGTAGTATGTGAGGCACAAATATTTTTTTTGCTTCATTGCTGTTTGCCCCCCTATGCCTAAATCCTGGCTCCGCCCCTGGTCAACGGGGCCACTAGGTGCGCACAACCGACCTGGGCACGACACGCCAGGAGAGGGGGGGGGGGCGTGCCCTAGTGGGTTGTGCTCCCCCGGGACCCCCCCCTTCGGTGGTTCTTGGCTCCAATATTTTTATTTTATTTCATAAAAAAATCTCCAAAGAGTATCATTCCATTTCAAGAACTTTTATTTCTGCACAAAAAGCAACACCATGGTAGTTCTGCTGAAAACAGTGTCAGTCCGGGGTAGTTTTATTCAACTCATGCAAATTAGAGTCCAAAATAAGAGGAAAAACATTAGGAAAAATAGATATGGCGGAGACGTATCATATGGCTATCACCTGGCAGAGTAGCAAGTTGCAAACAAGCAGGTTTAACCCATATATGGCATATAAAGCCGGTCAAGAGGGTATGAAAGCTAAACTCGGGGGGTTTGGGGGTTTTGGGGGGTTAATTTAGGTGTTTCATATATTGTGTTAGCTAGCTATAATTAATGGAGAGAAGTGTCCTCTCTTACGTCCGTGCTTGGTCGACGCTACGTACTATACATACGTATAGAGAGGACTAGACACGCTAGTTAGCTAGTAAGCAAACTAAGGAAACAGAAGATCGTCATGAACATATATGCATACAGAGAGAAGTGATATCGACCACCTCTCCTTCTCCGAGAGATTGGTCGAACAACAAGTTCTCGTATATCTATCCGACACTACCGGCTACATATATACAATAATTATCTCTTACAAATATAATCATACGGACTCATGGTCCACATAGTATTCTCCGTCTTCAGCAATCACTTGGTCAAGAAAGAATGCCGCCAATTCCTCTTGAATTGCTCGCATGCGAGCTGGTGCTAGGAGTTCATCCCGCTTCCGAAACATCTAATTTGAAGAAGGGGGTCAATACATATATATATATATATGAATGAATGAAACTCAATACAAATGATGGTAATAAAATAAAATTGTGAATGCTGTTATTTACGTACTTCATATTGTTTGTCAGAGTACCCGCCCCGCTCACAGGTCGTGTGGCGGATGGACTCGCAGACGTAGTATCCACAGAAATCATTCCCTTTTTCCTGCCACAACCACTTTACAAGAAATAGAGGTCAATCAAACTGATAAGCAAGAATGCTAAATGGTATTGATGAAACTAGCGCTTGAATCACTAGGAGATGCGCGGAACATGCTACTATAGTACTTACTTTCGGGTGTCTAAATTCCAGCTCCTTCGGCAGTCCCAGAACTGTTTTGGTGAATTTTCTCCAAACCCCGCCGGACAAAGAAAACAATTACTTGATATTAGGAAATGAACAAAGTTGCTGATATGGTGGATAATGATCGATTTAACTTCTTGAGGATTTCAGTCATGTCCGCATACTCCTGGGGATCTTTTCGTTTATAGTCCAAGACGGTTACTACTCTCTGCTCAAGCCTAATCTCTAGGAGAATATAGTGGAAACTGCACACGCATGCATAACTCATCAATTACATTACTATAACCTGGACTAATATATAAGGGAAACCGAATATGCATAAGACAGTAACACTCACTTGAAGTTGTAAGGAAAGAGTATTATATCTTTGTTTTCATTTTTTTGAATGATTGTAGCAAGTTGGCCTCGGTATCTCTGGGACGATGTTGAACCTCAGTTGCATCTATGAGATATGTGTTAATGAACCCAATATCACCGATTTGTCTTTTCTTCAATTCGGCGATCTTCATTCTGCATAATATAGTGAGGATAATTATAAATACATGCAATGAAAGGGATGAGCTATATAGAGAGACTTAATGACAGAAGTAGTAGCACTTACAGACAGTAGCAGGTGATCGTTGTTTTATCAAGGGCCAATTGATTGAAAAACTGATAGAACTCCTCAAATGGAATAGGCAACAGTTCAATTCCAACGAGGTCATGCTCCGGTTTAACTCTCGCATACAAAGTACTCCTCCCCCCAGACTTATGCAGATTTTCAAGTACCAATCATGTAATCTTCACATCATCGTTGTTAAAGATTTTTCATCTTTGACGAGAGGCTTCCCGTACTCGTATCTGTGTATCTTCACCTCCATGGTATCATAATGTATATCGTCGGGCAGGTAATCGTCAACATTGCCATAACCGGGCACCATCCTCGGATCGACGATGTCGCTAGGCACCTTGAGGGGGGGGGCACGATTGCTTCGCTTGTTCGCCGAGCTGGGCAATTTGTTTCCCAGCTGCTCGTCATTCTTTCAGCCTTTGATCATTGACTATACTTCCCGACCGCTCCGCTTCGGCCCATGTCTTTGCAATAATGCGCTCATAGTTGCCTTTCGGCGGAGACTTGGGTGGTTTTGCCAGGGCAGCCAGAGTGCGCTTCACTTTCACCGGATCTACCTTCTCCTCCGGAGGTGGATGTCTCTTTGCTCTCAACCCTTGAAACCAGTCATCCACTTCGGTTCGCGCGATCTTGGCATTCTCCTCCGGGGTCCTCTCATATGGTAACTTCTCTGGAGTCTTCAGAGAAGGACCGAATCTGTATGTCCTCCCGCCTCTGGTTGTACTGCTAGATGCCGACCGAGCAGACGGAGCGGTTGTCTTCTTTACTTGCTTACGAGGCGGAGGAGAAGGACT